GGGCATGTTGGTCACATCTCACACTAGCCAGGACATCATCTCCCAACCGTTAGAAAATGTTCTGACCAGAATGTCCTCACTCAGACACTTCTGCCCACGGTGTTATGGAAGAAATCACGTAGGCTTACCAGTACAGCTTGCTTGCCATACTCAATCCACCGACGGGTAGCAAAATTGGTAGACTCTGCACAGTTGAAGCCGTGGTTGAAGCCAGCATGGTAACCATATGGAAAAGTGATCATAAACTCTCCGGCTTCTTGGGTCACCTGAAGAAGAGTGGATTTGAAGCAGCTGCCGCAACTGGCAGAGGCCTAGCACAGACCTGGGCTCCTGAGTGTCTCTTTGCTACACTTAGGTGATCAACCAAGGGAAAGGCAAAACTGCCAGATCTTGAACTGCCACTTAACATATCACATGTATGCTAAGAGACTAATTAACCTATCCTCCAGATTAATCCCACAAGCCCTCAGCACCAGGAGAACACATTAGCCACCTGCTGTTATCAAACTCCACCCTGGAGACAAGAACAATAGACTGCAAACTCTGCCGAACAAAGACCAGAAGGGGTGCTTCTTTCTGCATAAACCCAAGGCCTTCTGTGGGGACCACAGCCAGCTCACCTTGTCAAAGGGAATGCCATACTTCTTCAGCATTAATGGGGAGATCAGAGTCATCTTGTGCCGGAGAAAAGCCTCACAGCTTTGAGCACTTCCTGGGAAAAAGCCTGTGAAAGGATGGTAGGTCTGAGTTAATAAGGCTCTGCCTAAGCTCTGTGATTCTTGGGGTTACTTCCCATCTGCAGACCTCAGGGGTGATCACTAAAGGACAGTCACCAAAGTGATGCTAAGAGGGGCTAGGGAGATGGCTCAACAGTTAAGAGCATTTCCTCTACTGCTCTTCCAGAGGACCTGAGTTTGGTTCCCAGCACCTATAACTCCAGTACCAGGGAATCCAATATCCTCTTTTGGCTTCCTCAAATGGTACTCACAGAGAGACATTCAAGCATGTAAATTAAAATTATAATTAAAAAAAAAATTTGGGGGGGCATAGGGATTGTCACTATGCATCCAGGGTTAGCCTGGAACTATAAAGATCAAGACTCAAAGATCAGCCTGCCTCTTCTGAGATTAAAGGCACTGGCAAAAAAAAAAAAAAAAAAAAAAACCCCGGCGGGGGGGGGGGGGGGGGGCTGATGCTGCTCCAGTTGCAAGAAGTCTGGGACCTCTGGTGAGCCTCCAACTCTCCCAGGTGGAGTCTTACCTAGACTCTGTGGCAGCACTCAGACACTCAAGCTGCCCCTGTTCTTACAAAACTGAGAACTACTTATTATCTCTCCAGGCCCTGAAGACTGAGCCTGAAACCTCAGCCTTTTGAGGGTAGCACATCTACAGTTTGATCTACTCAGGATCTTTTGAAATAGGAAAGCCTCTAGAGGCACAAACCTACCTAAGTCCACTTACAGGAACACACACACATACATACACACACACACACACACACACACACACACACACAGTAACTCAATCTGGATTTCACATTTGAAACTTAGGAGAAGAATCTAACCAAGTCTCTTCCTAGTTGAGGGGTGGAGGGATGTGGCAGAGAGAGCAGGAAGAGGAACAGGTCCTTCACAGACAGCATAGGAAAGGCTCAGGCTGGGCCTGGTCCACTAAAGGTATGCGATCTGACAGCTGAGCTCACACACATCCCACCAGATCTGCAGCCTGTGAAAGGTCACAGGTCATCTGATCTCAGAGAATGAACATCTCAGAACAGGGAGTTGGACAGCGAGAAGGCTAACCCTGTACCTGGAGGGGATACAGTACCTTTGGCAAGACGCTCTAGGCGTTTCCCATGCTCAGGTGGAACAGAGTACCTGCAATCACAAGAGAAGGTCAGATACCAGCAGAGGATAAGAAAAGGAAGTGAGAGACTTGCTCTCCCTCACAGACGCCCTGAAGGAAAGAGCTCCTGAGGGTTCCCAGTTCAAAGACACGACAAACGTCTAAGGTAACGGGTACTAAGGTGATGGGTAAGCCAAATAACCCAACCTGATTGCTACACATCACACAGATGTACTGACACATGGCCCTATAGTTCATGAATATGTAGAATCACTATGTGCAAGCTGAAACTACTTTGGGGCCGCAGGTCTCACTATACAGCACTATCTTGTCTGGAACTCAATATGTAGACCAGACTGGCCTCAAATCCAGAGATCTGCCAGCCTCTGCCTCCCTGGTACTGGACTTATAGGTGTAATCCACCACACCGGGCTTAAAAATGTATTTCCTAAGAACACCTGGAGCAAAGAAAACCTAGGAAGGTTGAAACAGGAAGATAAAGAATTCAAGGGCAGCCTGAGCTATATCTAGGGAAGGGACACTTAAAAAGCAATCTACGCTAATAAAATACTTTAAGACAAAGGAGTAGAGAGCCTACACAGCAGAATGCACGTATTCCCCCTACACTCGCTCGCTCTGTCCAATGTTTACTCAGTGAGACCTTACAGAACAGTCTCTCTCCTCACTAAGGTGCTCCTATGATAACACTGTTTGCTGATTGGGGGTGGGGCATCACATCACTGTGAAGGTTTTCATCATACTCCTGAAGGCTGGATGAGTGGGAAACTTGTGACCAAGCACTGGACACCTTGACACTGATGAGCCCATTTTTCTACCATACAAGCTACACTGATTACCCGGTAGATTTAATTACTCTTCCACGAACTGTGGTATCTGCTGCTCTTTGTGGAAAAACAAAGGAAATAGAGACACCTGGGACTATTTAAACCATCTACAGAACTGCTAAGCCTTAAATTCAGTTACCTCATTTTAACCTTCACGACTTATACTGAAGGCTATTTCAACTCAGCATGGTGGAACATGGCTGTGGCCCTGATACCAGAGAGGCAGCACTGAACCAGGACTGTCTCCTTCTGCACACACGGGTGAACTTCTAAGGACAGGTGCCTGACAACCCAAGAGCTCTGCACATGCAGTTCAAACCCGGGAAGTGTTTCCCTCACAGCCTCTGCCATGCCTGCCGCCATCCCACCCGGCTCTGTCCTTCCCCTTCACAGGCCTCAACCCAGCTCTCGTCTTCTGGAGGCTTCTTTAGCCGCCAGCCCACCCGTGTGTCCTTCCTCTGTGACCCTTCCTTCACTGCTCTGCCACCGTTCCACTTCCTGCTGCATCCCGACAGGCCTCCCACCCGGGCCTGCGTGCCTCACATGTGTTGCTCAGTGCTGTCACAGACAGAGGCTCCACTAAAAGGTTAGACAGACACGCCAGTACAGAGACGACACACGGTCAGTTTCTGTCTCCCCTAAAGGCATGGGAAGCAGGAGCGCGCGCAGCTTAGCCTCACTCGCTGCTCTCCAAATCACCTTTCCACAGAGCAAAGAAATCTCCCTACCCTCCGAGAAGCAAACTTAGGAAATCCCCAGGAACTGGGTGTGGTAGCTAATGCCTTAGATCCCAGCCCTCTGGACACAGAGGAAGGTGCATCTTTTGAGTCTGAGGCCCAGACACTTTACTGGTCTACAGTAAAGTATGTTCCAGAATAGCCAGATCGACAAACTTTATCTCAGAAAAGGAAAAAAAAAAAAAAAGGAACTATCAGGCCTCCTAAGAGGGAATCAGACAGCAGCAGCCGGCTGGGAACAACCCCACAATTCTGAGCCTCTGACTCCACTACCACAGGAAGCGAGGTTCCGTACGTAGTGTAGAGCACTCTGCTCTCTGAGCCCCTCTACTCAGCCATGCGTGGAGGCATGTACCTATTCATTCCAGAATTTGGGAAGCTGAGAAGCAGAAGACTCTCAAGTTTAAAGCCAACCTGGGCTACAGGGTCGAGACCCTGTATCTCACAACAAAGAACAACAAAAGTAAAACTTGTTCCCCAGAGGCATTCTGGGCCCCAAGAGCACTTCAGAAGTGAACTCAATGCAGGGTGCCAGCTCCGCCTCAAGCCCGGTACCCAGAATGTGTAGGAAAGGCCAGAAGCCCTGTGCTGATGGAAGGGCAGTGCTAAGTGCAGGCTGACTTTACCAAGACTTTGGCTCTCCAAAGTGCAGGTAGTTGATGCTGTACAGATCCATGTCTTCTGTGTGCCAGGCAAAGGACGTCTTCCACATGCCGAAGTACAGGTAGGGGGTGTTCACTCCCTCGATGGTGATCCCACTCTCCTTTTCCACCAGGTCCAGGATGGTCTTCAGCCGGCCGATATTCCACTCATCAACATGCTGCCAAGAAAATAGCAACCCAGGGCTCATAGGTAAACACAGCAGCCTCAGGTAAGCTGTCACTGCGGACTAAACTGAAGCCTGTCAAAGCCACAGCATCCAAAACAAGTAAGTGGCCTGGCACGGAAGCACACGCCTTTAATCCCTGCATTTAGGAGTCAGAGGCAGGTGGATCTCCGTGAGTTCAACACTATTCTGGTCTACATAACAAGTTCTTGGCAGCCGGGTCTACGCTATGAGACCCTGTCTCAAAAAAGGAAAGAAAGGATGAAAGATGACGGACAGACAGACAGATGGAAGGTACACAGGCAAATTTAGAAAATAAAAAAAAAGTTGAAAAAATATGAAGTAAAATTTAAAAATATTTAAGAAATGGCCAGCAAAATGGTATAGTGTGTAAAGGCACGGACCATCAAGCCCAAGTTCAATGCCCAGAACCCGCATGGTGGAGGGAGACGACTCACAAGCCACCCTGACCACACTACATCCTTTCCCTAAGTTCCAGTGGTCGTCTAGGGCTCTCTGTAAGCAGGGTCTGAAGTACAGCACCCTACTTTTCCACCTCCATCTTGGGTACTTACAACCGACACCTTCGGTCACCTCCACCCTCCACCGGCCTGTGGATTTCCGTGTGGACCCTGGGACCCACTTCTTGCTCTCTGACCTTTTCCTTCACCACCCTGCCACCCATCCTTCCACGAGTGACTCCCCATCTCTGAACTGACGTCAACAAACTCAGAATTCACTTTTTAAACTCTTCCCTTTCAATCACTGATGCCACTGTTAAAGCCAATCTGAGAGATAAGCCCTGAAAAGCCTTACAGGTTTCTTTAGTCACAAGACAGACCCACCTATCCCCTTCTACCACCACAGTAAGACAATTTGTTAGCTTAAAAAGCACAAGATCCCAAGCTGGGAAAAGTGTAAAACAGCTCCTGTTACAGAGCTCATGGGAGAGCTCTGAAATCTGTACACACTTCTCTTCCTCAGTCCCACCCTTCCATTTGATTAGTCAGAGAGATGCTTCCCACAGAGACCACCCGCTCGCATTCCCTCTCGCAAGGCCTCACTTTCTATGATCTATGCCACCCTCTGAGGAACTCATCATCTACCACCCACGGACTATGGGCGAAGCCTTGAAAAGGACACCACAGCACCCAGTTCACATGCAGCATGGAAGATACAAACTCCAGTGACACTCACAACTACCAACAAGGAAGACAGGACAGCGTATTGGCAGAACACCTTCTACTCATCTGTCCGTTCACCAAACAGCTTTTTAAGTCCCAGGCACATACTGCAGGGTTCTCAGTGGTCTCACCTGTTCATAGAGAGTACCATTCACATCTGCTCCATAGATGGGAGGATTGAATGTGAGGTTTTTCCAGTATTTACGCTCAAGTTCTTCGAATTCACTGTATCGTGGGGTGCAGTACCTTTCAAATATAAAAGAACGATGTTAGCCATTTACAGATGTGGTGGTTTGGGAACAATGCCCATAAACACATCTTTGAAATACTTCCCAGTTGGTAAAACTGGGAAGGAGTGTACTCTGTCCCATCTGCCATTAGAGATGTGAGCACTCAGCTGTTCCTGCCGCCATGCCTTCACTCCGCTACCATAGACTCTCACCCTCTGAAACCTTGAGCCCAACTGAATGCTTCTTTTATAAGTTGCCTTGGTCACAGTGCTTTATCACAGCAACAGAAGAATGTTTCTCAGGCATTATGAACGATATAAGATACAAGCCACTATTCCAGGGACAACAAAACATTTCAAAAGAACAAGACACAAGGCTGGGAGCGTGGCTCACCTGTTAACAGTGCTTGCCTAGCACACACAAAGCTCTAGGGTTCAAGCCAGGCATGGTGGAACATGCCTGCAACCCCAGGACTTAGAAAAAATAGAAGCAAAGAATCAGGGCAAGGTCATCTGCTACATGAGATGCTGTCTCAGAAAAACAAAAGGAGGTCTGGAGAGATGGCTCAGCAGTTAAGAACATGCACTGCTCTTGGAAAGGACCTGACACCGATTCCTAGCACCTGTATTGGGCGGCTCATACCTGCCTGTAATTCTTAGTTCCAAAAGATCTAAGGACCCTGGCCTCAGCAGGTTTCCAGGACTCATGTGTATATAACCACAGACGTACACTAACTAAAAATAAAATATACGTTTAAAAAGACAACCATGGGGGCTGGAGAGATGGCTCAGCAGTTAAGAGCACTGACTGCTCTTCCAGAGGTCCTGAGTTCAATTCCCAGCAACCACATGGTGGCTCACAACCATCT